TTACCCCTCTTTTCTGCAGTCTAGTCCTTTTTGCCCTCCGCCGCCGGCTTAGTATCTTATTTGCCTCTCGAAGGTCTTTGTTCTCAGCGGTCAATAAGGCAACCCGATGCATAACAGCCTTTGTTCCCTTCGCAAGAGACTATAGAGCCTCTAAAATTGACTCTGGGGAGCTACTTTGATGCCTTCTGATCCGCCTTTCGAGGTATTCAGACTGAGATCCGGCCTCAATCACGGTCTTTGGGGTCCTTGAAGCCCAAGGGGTCGACGGCTCAGCTGCCTCCTCAACCGGCGTTGGCGTCCGTAGCTGAACATCAAGCTTTGAGATCACAGTTTCTGGGTCAAGAGGAACAAGCCCAGCTCCTTTGAAAGCCCCCCTGATATTTCTTTCCGTCATAGTGGCCTTGTGTGCGGCGTGGAAGGCCGGAAAGAACTCCGTCTTTGAAACGTGGGTTATAGAACATCTGATCAGATGCTCTATTTCTCGACCATAAGCCTTCTTCAGCACGCTAAAGCACCCGACGTCAAGGGGCTGGAGCAGATGAGAGGAATGAGGTGGCATACAAAGCCGGATGATCTTCTTTTCCTCACAATATCTCTCGAATTCGATGGAGTGGTGACTTTCGTGGCCATCAAGGATTAAGAGACGATAGCGACTATTTGATCGCTTAGCTGTACACCGGTCAAAGTGCTTTAGCCACTCTAGACCAGTCTCATTATCGGTCCAGCCATTTTGGGTCGTCGCAATGGCCCAATCGCCCGGGAGGTTGCTTTCTCGGTACCAGTTGGCGAGGTGATATTGGCCCGCACCGATGATGAACGGCTGGATCGCCTGGCCTTCCGCATTAATCGCTTGAATGACTGTAATCCATTCCCGGTTTCCAGGCTGCACTGATTTCGGCTTTGAACGCCTTTCTGCACCTGTGACAACCATTCCGCTTGCAATCATGCCCATAAGAAAGCCAGTCTCATCAAAGTTATAGAGATCATCTGATCGGATGCCGTACTTCGCGATTGTATTCGCCACAAGCCGAAACCAATCGCGGATAATGGTTGGATCTTCGCATTTGGCTCTCTGATAGTCGTATTTACGAAAGAAACGCGTCTTAAGGTCTGGGTGTCGCTTGACGAAGTTATGAGCCCAACGCGTGCCAACCGGTGACGCGTCGCGGTCGGCAAGCAGTTGATCAGCCATATCTTTAACAGCACGTAGCCGGGGAGGAAATCCTCGCGAATCTAGGTCGAGAATAAAGTGAATAATGATCTCTTCCTCTAGATTAGATAGCCGACGTGATTTCTGGATAGTATCGCGTCGAGATTGAATGCCGTGCTGTCGGCGACGTAATGTCATTCGATTAACCTCATATGTATCTGCGGCGCGTCGGAGGCTTAGTTTTGGGTTATTTTGAAGGGCCCGAAGGGCAAGAAGCATTCTAGCCTCACAATTAGACTGTGACATGCTGGGTGGTTGAGAATTAATTGATCAAATGGAGAGGATGTAGGTTGAGGGATTTTTGGCACACTTGCTTGACTGGCTCACTTGCTTATCAAGTACGTTATATATAATAGCTATATTTAATAAAAAAGGGGTTTATATTAATTATTATATAATCGCGGTTATTAATAATAAATTATATAATAAATAAGAGCTAACCTTAATTATTTTAAGTAAAGTTAATATAAGCTTATAAGTATTTTTATATATCTTAATTTATTCTTTTAAGCTTTTTATTAATCTATAAGTAATATATTATATTAAGTTATTACTTAGTTTTTATAAGTTAATAAAAGGCTTATTAAAAACTATTTATTTAATTAAAGTTTTTATTATTAATAATAAATTTTAATATTTTATAAAAATAATAATAATAGCTAAGGAATTATTATATATATATTATTATATTTATATTATTTATTACTTTTAGGGTTATAACTTAAATAAAGTAATTCTTAATTACTTAAATATATTTTACTTTAATAAGCCTATAACTAATAGGTTTATTATAAAGTCTATAACTAAGTTACTATAAAGTTATTAAGGCACTAAGAGTAACCTTAATAAATCTTATTTAAGTTATTATTAAATTATATTTTAGCTATATATATAATAATTAGCTATAAAGCTATATATTAATTATAAGCTCTTTAGCTAAAAAACATATTAATATATTAAAGTAATTATATTATTTTATTTTAAGTATTTAGCTATAAATATATTATATTTAGCTTATATAATATATGTTTATAATATATCTTTCTTACGCTTATTAAGCTTATTTATCTTATTACTTCTAGGGACTTATAGCTTTTTTTAATAAGTTAATTTTTTAATATAATTTATTTTATATTTTATAAATTTAGATTTTTAGCTTAAAAGAGAAATAAAAGCTATAATCTCTTTATTTAATTATTATAAAAGCTTTTTTATTCATTTTATTATTTAATAATATAATTTATTATAAGTATTTAAGTTTAAGGTATTTTAAAAAGATTACTTAAGCTAATTATATACCCTTAGGGACTTTTTTTACCTTTTTATTAAGCTTTTTCTCTTTTTTAATTATTTTAAGTAATATATTAATTAGAATTAATTATAAATAATAGCTTTATTTTTTTTTATTTTTTACTTTTTATAATATATCTTACTTATAGTAATTTAATATATTAAGTATTATAATTTAATTATTAAATTAATACTTTAAGCTAAAATTAAACTTAGTTATTTTATTAATTTATTTATTTTATTTTTTAATAAATATTTTTTTAATTATAAAATACTATAAATTCTTATAATTTATAAAGATTATAAAATAATTATAGCTATATAGCTTTAATTTTTATACTTTTAAATAATATATAATAATTAATATTTCTTTATTAGAAATAAAGTAATTATATTTAATAAGATTATATTATTATAAGAAAAATATAATTAGCTTAAGTCTTTTTTATAAATTTAATTATATTAATATATTATTATTAATATCCCTTAAGAAATTAATTTTAAAATAAATCTTTTATAAAAGGTTAAATTTTATTAATATTAAGGTATTTATAAAGTAATTTTTTAATTTTTAAAATATTATTTCCTTATAGGGACCTTATAAAAAAGGTATACCTTTCTTATATAGCTTTATTAAAAGTATTATAATTTTTAAGAAATCTAAGATAAAGACTTAATAGTAATTAATAAACCTTATAAAGCTTTAAATTCTTTTTATTATTAAGGGAATAATTTATTTATAGATAGCTTATTATTTCTTTAAATTATAAGTTATTTTTTTTTATTTTTATAATAAAGCCTAGGTATTTTACCTTTTATATAATAAACTTATATTTCTTAAGATTAAGATATAGCCTAGCCTTATTTAAGGTATTAAGAACTAATTAAACCTTTATTATATAATTTTTATAAGTCTTATTTCTATAAATAAATATATTATTAATATATATTATAATAAATTAATTAAAGTATTTTTAAAAGGTATTATTAATATATTATTAAAGTATTATAAATATATTAATAAGTTTAAAAGGGATTATTAGCTATTTATATAATTTAAATCTTATATAAAAAGCTACCCTAGGCTTATAACCTTTTTTAATTTAAATCTTATAAAAAATAATTATTATATTAAGCTTTATAAATTACTTAGCCTTTATTAAGATTCTTAAAGTCTTTATAATTAAAAAAAAAAATAATAATCTCGCTATATAATTATATTAAGTATATAATAATTATAATAAAAATAAATTCTTTCTTTAAGTTTTTTAATTAATAATATTAGAGCTATTATAAATAAGCTATTAGCTTATATAAACCCCTTATTAAGTAAATTATTAAGGACTTTTTATAATATTATTAATTCCTCTTATAATATTAAGTAAAAGAGTCTTTATAATAAGGTTAATTTATTATTATATTAGTCTTTTATTAAATTAATCTTATAATTATAGCTTAATTATTAAAAAGGTAATTATAAGGCTTTAATAAATAAAAAGAAATAGGAATAATTTTATAAGACCTCTTAGGGAATTAACTTTGCTATTTTAATTAATTCTTTTTTTTATTAAGCATTTTTAGCGCTTTAGCTATATTAACTAAATTAATTAATATAATAAAAGTAACTTATTATAGTTATACTATCTTAAGGCGCTAAAAGCGCCCTATAGGATAGCTATAATATATTATATTAAGTAATTATAACCTTAATAAATTAAGGTTATAAGTAACCTTTTAATTAAGTAGCTAACTAGCCTTATTACCCTATAGCTACTACCTAGCTATCATATAATAATTATAACCTCGATCTATTAAGTTATAGCAAAGGTCGCGGGTTTAATTCCTAGTAATTACTTTACTTATGCGGCTTATAAGGCTACTAACTAGGCGATTATAGCATGCGATTACGGGGTCGTATTAGCTAAGTGGAGAGTACCAGGGAGAATAAATAAATGAATGAATGATATGAAAAAAGACATCCTCTGGAATGCTATAACGAGTGAATTACTGACCAACCCCCCGGCGGACCGAAACCATCGCGACGCCCATGACCCGTCGAAATACCACCTGAAGGGATCCGATTGCCTGTTCCGAGGCCCAGCGTGCGCGGGCCCGAGGTTTCTCGTCCCTTGCTCCAAGTCCTCTATCAGATATCCAAGGAGCTTGAGCAGGTTAGAGACAAGATTGCCTACACGACACCTGGCAGGGTAATTCACAGAGTTGAGCCCGGCTAATCATTATATCAAGAGCTTTGCAGTGGGAAAACTCAAATACTTGGAATATTAAATAATGGCCCCGTTGAGAGACGGCAACGGAAATAAGAAGAACCAAAAAGACTACACCCATTAATAAACGTCCTGCTTGCTGTCATATAGATTGGAGCTGTCTGCTACCAACGTTCAACCTTGACTCTAGCATCTGCTGCCGTTCTCAGGGACGGAACCCCTAAAGTCACGCGTTAGCTCCAAATCGGTAATTATCATACGGGAAACGGGCAGACTTACTCAATGTACCAGCCCTCGAACCAGGACTTGCCGCCCTTGGGGCAGTTTTGGATCAGATGATAGAGCATCCCCTCGCACGTCGAGGGCTCGAGGGAGGCACCGCTGCCAAAGTCGTTGCGCCCCACCCACCGGATCGCGTGAGGGCCGAAGGGCGTATTGAAGCATCCGTACTTGATCTGGCCCGGCTGGTAGCCATAGCTGCCGTCGCTGGTGTCCTTGCCGTCGCACCACTGCGCCACCGAATCCCACGCGGCCTGGTAGTTGTCGCCCCATACCCAGCCCTGGGTGAAGCACTCGAGCTTCGTGGGCGGCTTGTAGCCCTGCGGGCGCACGCAGACGTAGGCGTTTGCCCAGAGACCCTCGCAGCCGTTGGTGATGGACGTGTGCCACTCCTCGAGCCGGCTGGGCGCGATGCCGTACTTGGCGGCGATCCAGGCGCAGGTCTGGTCTTTTTCGACGCGGTGGAACTTTTCGCAGTTGCTAATCATGCCGGGCTGGGTAGGCGTGGGCGTGACGATGGTGCCTGGCGGTTTCGTAGAGGTTGGGACCGGGTTTCCGCCAATGACGCCTACGCAGATGTAGACATTGGCCCAAATGCCGGTGCAGTCGGATCCCACGCCAGGGTTCCATTTCTTGATGTCGCTCTCGGAGACGCCGAGCTTAGAGGCGATAGTATTACACAACTCATCCTTCTGCACCTTATAGAACTTGTTGCAGTTCTCAACCATGCCGGACTGAATAGGTGAGGGTGTGGTCACTCCGTTGCCACTAGAAGTAGTAGTAGTGGTAGGCGGAGGTGGGCTTCCGCCGATAACCCCGACACAAATATAGACATTAGCCCAGATGCCTGTGCAGTCGGATCCAACGCCAGGGTTCCATTTCTTGATGTCGCTCTCAGAGATGCCGAGCTTGGAGGCTACTGTGTTGCACAACTCATCCTTCTGCACCTTGTAGAACTTGTTGCAGTTCTCAACCATGCCAGGCTGAATGGGCGAGGGCGTGGTCACCCCGTTACCAATCGAAGTAGTAGTGGTAGGCGTGGACGGGTTCCCGCCGACGACCCCGACGCAGATGTAAACATTGGCCCAGATGCCTGTGCAGTCGGATCCGACACCGGGATTCCACTTGATTATGTCGCTCTCAGATAGACCAAGCTTGGGGGCAATTGTGCTGCATATCTCATTTTTCTCAACCTTGTAGAACTTGTTGCAGTTCTCTACCATGCCAGGCTGGATAGGGGAAGGTGTCTCTATGACGGGCGGGCCAGTAGTAGTGGGTGGTGGTGAGCCCGAGGTAGTCGGAACAACAACTTCCGGGCCTTCGATACAGTATGACCGGCCGGTGATGAAGTTGCCGCAATCTTTTGTGATGGACGGGTTCTACGCCAAAGCACATGTCAGTCGTCGTAAAGAAGTGTTAGGTTACGCTGAAAAACTGACCCAACTCAAAAAGTCCTCAAACTTGATCTTGAAGGATGGGGCAATGTCCTCACACGCCACAGAACCATCATTGTCCCACCAGAACTCGCAGTCCGGATTCGGGTCGTGGGGCATGTTAGGATCAACATCCATGATTCCAACTTTGTTGGGCTTGGTGCTGCTTGCATGAGGGGCCGCCGTGACTGGTGGTGTTGCGACTGAGCTGTTGGTATAGCGGACACCGCTTGGCACTGCGGCGTGTGGTATGGCTTGCACATTCTGTGCAGACAGGATCACCGCGGCACCGGTCAAGATTACCGGCAGGAAGCTGTTTGAAAAGCCCATGTTGTCAACAAATTTGAAGGAGTCGGTGATGGTGATTGTTGTAGGCAGCGGCAGTAGATTTCAGAAAGTGGGTGCTCTGGCATTTATACATGGACTTGATGCTGGCATTATTGATTGACGATTTACGGCTTGTCCGATTTAAAAACAGACGCTTATTAATGTTGGGGCACTCACAGACGGTGAGACGGTGGCTCGTCGCTTTCAATGGGGAGTGAGTTTGTGATGGGCCGGTTGACAGAGTTCAAGGTCTCGACCCCCACCGCCTTCCATGATAGATTTCGGCGCAAATCGCGGCCTCGAAGCGAAATCAATCGAAAAGAACTTTGAAAAGAGCTCGGTCTTCAATTCAGGCCTCAAGGTAAAACGGCCCGACGTCGTCTCGATGCACCTGGCTCGAGGCTGAACTGGGCGGGGTTGCAATGATCGTGTGATGATTCCATTTCGAAAGTAGCTTCGCCTGGTGAGTCCTAATAGAGAATTATCACACAACTATCAGGGAAAAAACTGCGGCATTTTGTCGCTCTGGGATACTCACGCGCAGGACCTTTTGCCGGAACTAAGGGACTCTCGGCGAGGACGATCGAGCGAGGGCAACGTTACTCGGGACATGGACCGGCCGGCTCTGTTTCCGCCATTTGATTCTGACGTGAGACGTTAGTCTTTAGCCCTCGATAGATGGGACGAATGAAGTCCGTATCCGGAATCTAGGTGCAGGGATAAGCGTCCTCTATACCCCTTGCTAAACCACGTGCGGTGCAGGTGGATGGTCACCAAATTGACAATACAGTTGGAGGTAAATCTCCTCGGGTGCCCAACAGTCAGAGTACTAGATCTAGTTCTAGTAGATACGCTGAGAATAAAAACCCAGCCTATGAATTGGAACCCCCAATTGCACTGTTGAAGGATGCTCATAGGGAACCTCTGGCCTAGCATCGGCATGTATGTCCATTACTCACGACCTCGTGTATGCGGCTTACTTTCACACCTTATTTTACGCCGGGGCCATCGTGTGCAGCGTGACCAAGATCGGAAGAGAGCAGCGCCAAGTTCATGTAGGCACACATACAGCCCGGCCGATCCAAGTCTCCGGTCGGATCCCGCGCGGGAACATCGCTTGGACATCGCCAAGAGCGGTGGGGGCGATGTCATGACTGCTTTCGGTTCGCCCATGCAAGAAAGCTTAACGTGAGCTATAAATGTGTAAAACTCGTTGCATCCGATACCTAAACCCTGCTACTTCCACCACAGCTGAACCCCTGGAGCGGAAAATGACCACCGTTTCGGGACAGTCTTTCGTGCGTGCCCTGGTCCAGACAGTAGTACCCCATGTCGATGCCCACTCTTCGCTGACCGGCGACCGGAGCGGGCCGAGCCGGGGGGCATTCGAGTGATTGGACCGCACGGGTTTTGCCTCACGCACTAGGGCTTCGATGCACGTCGTGCCTGGTCGATGGGCAGATGAGGTGAGACTATCTGTTGGTCACAGACTCAGGCTCCGTTTTTCCGGCTTCATCAGTCTTTTATACGAGTAGCGCTCGGTACCACCTAGACAGGAAAGTAGCTTCAAAAGTATGTTCAAGACCAGTCTACGGACCATAAACAGCACAGCCGTGATTGGAATTCTTACGTGTGAATCATCACTTACTCTTTTGATCGACCATTCCTTGCAATGGTTTCATTGACTAGTTGAAAGAGTTATAGCCTCAAATCCATCAGAATCCACGCCGTCACGCGACTTACTCGCACCACCCTCGAACGGCACTTTGGCAATAGTTGCTCCATGGAAGCCTCGGTCGGGAGCAGAAGTCCCCCCGGGGTCTCTTGGACAGTTAGTTTTTCCCACCCTTTGACGGCTGGGAAATTAACGCACTAGAATTATAAGAAGAGCAAATGGCCATGGTGTTAAATTCCTCTGTATTCAGCCCGCCCATAGTGGTCTGTGATATATTGTTTATAAGAGCCAAGCAACCTCAGCCAGGTGCCCCATCTTCGCTCTCTGCTTTCGTGCTGTCTCCTAGCACCTTTTCATCAATAGTCACAATCTTGTCGTTTCTTATTTTGCCGCCACCGCCAAGCGCATCAAAAGATGCGGTGGAAAGTTCGCAGCTGCCTCCCAAGGCTCCTGCTTCTGTCCGCCTCAGCATCAGCTCTGACGTCGTTGGAGCAAATCGAAAAAAATGCTTTGCCGTGCCCCGACGCCTGCCTAGGCAAAGGGCCCGCGGATTGGTCTCTGTACCCCTCTGCCGACAAGCTGGCTGCTTGCCCACAGCCTCTGTTGCTCAGCCTTGGTCTCAGTACCGCGTTCGATGACGAGAAAACCGACAGTCCCATACGTGCATGCACGCTGGGCAATGCCAAAACCAAGGTCAATTATCTCGTCGAGTCGGACTATGTCGACCCCGAAGCCATGGGCAAGACAAACTTTGGCTCTGTTCGGCGTAGGGCCGCTGAAGTCAACTCTACTTGCGGCGCTGGGCCCTCGGAGAAGCTAGAGACTCCCATACGCCTCTCGTCATTCGACACAAGCATCGAGCCTCTTGGCAAGGATCCAGGAGCTGATGTTATCCTGGCAACCAAAACTATCACCCATCATCTTGAAAAGGCCCGGGCGAGTTGCGAGAAGACAATCCTGTTTGCCTATATCCGCGGCACGCTTGTGGGCCTCTATGCTGGTTCTCAGGTCGACAGACGCAAGACAATCGACGCTCTACTCCCAACCTTTGTCCAGGCGCTGCAAGGTGGCTCCGACGTTCGGCAAGCCGTCGAAGCCTGTGATGAAGGTCCTGCAAGTGATGTGTTCGGTCTGATCGCAGACCCTACTGGCGACTTTGTCGCAGTCCAAGCCGCCGTCAAGTCATGGAACGAGGGCAAGTGCGTTGCTGGCGGCAAAGGCAGCAAGACGAAGGATCTCTCCAAGCTGACTGCCTGGGGATACACGCTGGCCGCCAATGCCAGAGGCCACAGCGCCCGTTCTCTCGATGCGAGGGACACGTGTCGCAGCATCGAAGCCGAGAACGGAGATACATGCGAGACGCTTGCCAAGCGCTGTGGTGTTAGTCTTGCCTCCTTTGAGAGCGCAAATAAAGCGACAAAAGACCTCTGCGACAAGACGCCAGCGGGCCAACCCGTATGCTGTTCCTCCGGCGAGCTGCCGAGCATCAAAGCCAAAATCCAGTCAAACGGAGTTTGCACCAGCTATGACACGAAGATGGGGGACATCTGTGACACAATCGCCGCGAAGCACGGTATTACAGTTGAGGATCTCGAGAATTGGAACAAGAAGACCTGGGCCTGGGATGGCTGCGGCAACCTGAACCCATATGTGCGCATCTGTGTCAGCGCGGGCGACCCTCCGATGCCTGCTTCGGTATGGAATGCCGAATGCGGGCCGACCAAGAATGATACCAAGCCGCCAGGGGAAGGCGAAGAGCTCGCAGACTTGAACCCCTGTCCTCTAAATGTCTGCTGCAATAGATGGGGGATGTGCGGATTGGTGAGTGTTCTGCAGTACGCCCCCTCCCAATGCTGATCCGAGTAGCTGACACACACATCTCTGCGTGCAGACGGACGAGTTCTGTCTTAAATCCACCTCCAACACAGGGAACCCGGGCACGGGGCAGCCAGGAGAGGGCGGATGCATTTCCAACTGCGAGCGAAAGCTGACAAACAACGGCAAGGCGCCTGAAAAGTACCGCAAGATTGGCTACTTTGAGGCGTGGAACTACGACAGGCCTTGCCAGCACATGCACGTCCTGGACATTGACAAGTCATACTCGCACATTCACTTTTCATTCGGTGAAATCTCGCAGGGTCTCCAAGTCGTCATTCCTGATAGGGTCAAAGAGCAGTTCGAGGCTTTTAAGAAGGCCGCTGACCTTCCTGCCAAGAAGATTCTTGCGTTCGGAGGCTGGGCGTTTTCGAATGAGGCGGCTGATACAAGTCTTTTCCGAAAGGCCTTTTCTGCTGGTAATCGAGAGGCATTTGCAAGCCGCGTTGTGGATTTTGTCTCCAAGAATAACCTGGATGGTGTCGACTTTGATTGGGAGTATCCCGGGGCAACCGATATCGAGGGTTCGGACCCGGGACAGAAGGACGATGGTGACAACTACTACGAGTTCCTCAAGGTCTTGCGTGGAAAGCTCCCTAAGGATAAGTCGCTCTCTATCGCCGCTCCTGCTTCCTATTGGTATCTAAAGGGTTTCCCGATCAAGAAGATGGCCCCTCTCCTGGACTATATCATTTTCATGACCTATGACTTGCATGGTAAGTTGAGCAAGCTCGCTTCAGGAGACCCCGTCTTGACTTTGCTAACGCCCTTGAACCTGTGAATAGGACAATGGGATGTAGGTAGCAAATGGGCCAGTCCTGGTTGTCCCGCAGGAAACTGCCTGCGCTCCCACGTCAACTCCACAGAGACGATGGATTCCCTGATTATGATCACAAAAGCCGGAGTCGAGTCCCACAAGGTTGTTGTTGGCGTGAGCAGTTATGGCCGGTCATTCAAAATGTCCAGCTCCACCTGCCGCGGCCCTCAGTGTATGTTTTCACGCCTCCGTGTAACACTGGATATTCTACAGCTGACACAATGTTCAAGGTACCTATCTTGGAGAAAGGAACAAGTCTCCTGCGAAAAAGGGCCGGTGCACTGGCACAGCGGGATACATATCCGACTTCGAAATCAACGAAATAATTGGAAAGGGTGGAGCCATCAAGACGTGGTATGACGAGGCGACTGACTCAGACTACCTTGTCTACGAGGGAGACGAATGGGTTGCGTACATGTCCAAGGTGACAAAGACTCGTCGAATGAGGGACTATATGAAGCTCAACTTTGGCGGAACAACAGACTGGGCGATTGATCTCCAAGTCGACTTTGAGAAGCGCTACACGTCAGGACGACCAGTCTTCCTCGACCCCAAAGTATACGAAACCCCATCAGCCGCTTGCGAAGCGCCTTGCACCTTGGTATTCCCCCCAAGTAAGCTTTCAGAGGCAACTACTATCAAACCTGGAAAGTTCACCACGTCTCTCGAATACGGAGCCGACGGAAAGACTACAATCGGCGGCAAGGAGACCACAGCATTCATCACCAAGACCGTGACAATCACGGTGGACGTTCCGGAAATCACGACAAACAGCATGATGTACTCCAACGTCAACGTCACGCAGGGCCAAAAGAATACGGATCTCGTCTTGCGTCCGAGCATCAAGGTACCACCTATTCCTGTACGAGTACCGGATGGCGAAGGCGGCACGACAACACGCACGTTGACACTGCCGCCGTACCCATTCTCTACTAAGCGACCGGGATCCTCGGGAACAGGTACAACTAGCAAGCAGCCGTTGGAACCGACATTATTCCCAACCGACATCCGCTTTACGCAGACTCATACTCGTCTCCCGACAGGAGTAAGAACAAGACTTTTTTTTTTTTTTATCATCCCCCCCCCCCCCCCCTTTTCGCTTCTTCACTTTTAGCGCAAACTGACGTTGTATTCAGGACCAAGACACTATTTCAGGCCTGCCGGTCTATGTGGAATGGCCTACGGGAATTATTGAAGCAATCGAGGACGAAGTCGAGGACATTGTGGCTGTGGACGACGGCTTCAAGTCGCCTTGTAAACTATGGTACTTCCACGTGAGTACCCAACAGTCGCGTCCAATCTGGCCAAGACTATTAACCAATACCATGAAATAGTTCTGCCCGCCCGGTATTAAAGGATTAAGATGGACTATCAAGCCAGGCATATACCCGCCGTGAGTAATCTCCCCATCGTTCGTCACGAGAGTATATCAAGACATCTAATAAAAACGAATTTGAACATATTTAGAGGCCCTCCGCCCCCCAACGTCATCAAGCCCGATGGTATTCATCTACCATCTCCCATTCGGGTCGAGTTTCCTCCTTGGCCAGAAATCACGTAAGCATACCATCTCAAAGCACGACTTTTACAAACAACTCGAGTCCATTTTCGCTTACCATAGGCAGTGTTGGCCCCAATCACTTACCTACATACCCCCCGAAGCCCGATTGCGAGCCAGACTCGGCATCACTCTGCTGGACAACGACAACGCTATCCCCGACCCTCGTGGGCCCGTCAACCTCTACGTATACCACGTCAACAACTCGCTGCGAGACCGTGTACGGTTGCGAAGTGAAAGACTGGGAAACGGAGTATACCAAGAAACTAAAATGCCCAATCCCAACCCAGGTTTCAAAGCGTCGTCCCGATCCTGAAGACGACGGTATGAGCGTCTTACAACGGCGGGCAAACTGCAACCGCCGTGCCGCTCTTATTCCCACGTCGATCCGAGATCCTGGCAGAATACGAGCCCTCCTTGATTCGTACAAGATTCAGTATACAGAGGTAACGTCGGTCAGATACGTCGAGAACGGAGCCCCTGCAACGCTCTACATTTACTGGTGGATCGAATCAATACACCCAGCAGTGGCGACGAGAATAGACCAGGATGTACGTCCCATCCACCAACTCCTTCCTGCTTCAAAGTATTTTTTTTTCAAGACTGACAGCGTGATTCGCCGCATTGAAAGCCCTCGGTGGCCGGAATGTACGACTTTGGAGAAGCAGCGCCAGTTCCTAGAAAGCCGAGTCCGCGTCGAGATGCCAATATAACTTCGGAGGACGAAGACGTTGCCCGCTCTCAAGCCAAGAGGGCCCCCTACACCATCAGAACGTCAAGGGACTGGGCAGCAGCTCAGGTCAGCATGCCCAGGGGGGCAATTTGGAAAGACCCGAATAGGGATGAGTACCAAAACAACAGAAATCCCGAGTACCACATCGCGTCTCAACCAGAGATGGGTCGAGGACAGTTTGTCTACGTCATCCAAGAAGCTGCTTATGAGATGAGGAATAATGTAGGTGCATTTAAAAAGCCTTGGAGATTCATCAATATTCTCTGTAACCAAGTTGGGCAATCTCAACAGAGCTGCTCAACGGTTATACAACCCTACTTCTAGCTGACACGCACTAGGAATTCCAAGGTCTGACTTACGACGACACGCTCGAAGTACCTATATACCACAAACCCACAGTTCCCAAAGACCAGTTGGATTCAGGCCACGGGACTGGTGTCCTCGGCCAGCTAGTCGGGAGCACAAAGGGTTTCGCTAAGAATGCTATGGTCTATCCCGTCAGTCGGAGGAGTCAATTTGGAGACGAATTGACGACACTGGGCAGCCTTGCCGTCGTCCTCGAATCCATTGTGAGAAACAATCAGCGTGGGAAAGCCGTCATTAACATTAGCTTTGGTCATGTCCCTGATGCCGGTGGAATCAACGGGCCTTATCTTGACGCCATACGTAAGACGAAGCCAACCTTTTTCCCTCTTTGATTCCGGGACACAATAGCCTGCGAGATTTACTGACTGTTGACATCTTTTAGGCCAGCTCCTTGAAGAACTTGATGAAGCGGGCACGGTGATTGTAGCCAGCAGCGGTAACACGCCATGGAACGGCAATAACCTGGACCTTGCGAAGCTGCCCGTCGATAGCTACCCGGCGCTGTTTGGTGAACCTGGGAGTAAAGGATACCTCCCCAACCTGATCGTCGTAGGGGGAAGCACGGACGACGGCGAAAAGACCGATGCTAGCCAGCAGGCTGCTTGGATCGACACATTTGCGCCCGGCTTCATCATGTCCGTTGCCAGGGGGGTAGGTGACGGGGCTGTGCAAGGTGCAGGGTCCTCATATGGTAAGCATTGAATCCCTGCTTTGTCATCGTTTCGGTCACCACTTGTTTCTCCCAGTTTGCCGAGGAGTGGCTAACCATCGTCTTGCCGTGACAGCTGCCCCTATGGTGGCAGGTCTTGTGGCCTACATCCGATCGATACCGTCAAAATACCAGAAAACCCTCGAGGACCCAGAAAGTGTCAAGGACATGATCAAGTCGCTGAGCCGCAAATTCGGCTACTGGAATGAATACACCAACGCTCCGGTGCCGGGCGACGACCCCAAGGCCGTGGCCGTTATTTGGAACGGGCAGTCTGGCCAAGACACTTGTTTCGTGGAGACGGGTAATGGCCCCGAATGGTGCAGCCCGAACTGGAGCCCGGGCCCCGGGGGGCCTGGAGGAGGTGCAGATCCTGGAGGCTCGGGTAAGAAGATAGAATGGAAGCCGGGAACCGACGCGCCAAAGTGTACCAGCAACAGCGCGCGGAACCTGTTCAAGAAGCGCGCCGAGGCAACCTGCGGCGGAGTGCTTTGCAAGGGCTACTACTGCACGCCCAACCCGCGGGGCCCTCCGCCCGATTTCCGGGACCCCAAGGACCCGAACCGGGACAACGACGACAATGAAAACCCACCGGGTCCTGGCCCTGTCCCGACGCCTGTGCCGACTCCTGGCCCGGCCCGGATCCGACGCAGATCACTCTGGGATGCACTTTTCCTGTCCTGATAAGTATCGGTAAGCCAACATGGGGATTCTGCTGTTAGAGATCTCGACTAATAGTGGGTAATGAAGAAGTAGCCTTGTGAGGCAATGGGAAAGAAGATAGTACTGAGTTGGGGGAAAAACGTGCTAAGCCATTTTGGGCCACAGAGCAATTTCTTGTACGTAGAAAAGGAGGCAGAGGCCACAGAGCCTCACCTTCATCATTACTTTCGCGAGCCTCGACCAGAGGACTTTTGGGCTCCTTTGTGGGTCATATCTTTGTTGCTATGAATTGATTAATTACTCTTACTATTTTGTATTGAATTTACCTCACGAGAAAGTGCGTGAGATCCCTCTTTTAAAAAGACCCTAAAGAGAACACGTGGAAAATCCTTTCCTTTGGCTATGTGGTTTTGGTGTGTTCTGTTTCTCTAACAAAGTACTTGTTAGATAGCATAAGCTACTTATAAAAACATACTAATAAGTATTTTAAAGCCTTCCTTATAGGACCTTAAGCAAACCCATATACTAAGAGCTGCTAAATAGAAAAGAGTACTTATTTTCCCGTGATATCCCTTAAGTTAGCAAGGAGCTATAGCTTATACCTCGCCCTACTTAGCGCTATAATAATAAGAGTATATAAGGGGTATACTTTATTCTCTTAATAAAGGATTTCCTAGTAAAATACTATAGTAATTATTTTTAATTTAATAATAAATATATAATTAAATCCTAATATATTATAAGTAAATAATTATTAAGCGGGATCCTATATAATAGCTCTAAGGGTAATTATATAAGACCTATAGCCGGCTAATCTCTAGCTACGCGGCTATACTAATCCTAATCTAAAAGGCCATATTATAGCCTAAAAGGGAAAAAAGGAATAGCCTTAGGGATAATAATAATAAGTAATTATAATAAATAAAAGGATAAGCCTATAATTAAATAATTAAGAGTTTTATATATTAATTAAAGAGAATTAATTAAGGAATAAACTAAAGAGCTTTTACTAAGTAATCCCTAAATAATAATAATAAATATAAATATTAAATTAGCCTCTAATAATAACTAAATAGCCTAATATAATATCCTTAAGGTAAAAGTAAAGAACTAAGACCTATAAGATTATATTAACTTATTAGCTAAGAATAAGCTAACTTTTATATTAATCCCTCTAATAAAGCTAAAGGTATAAAGCTTAAAGAAAAAAAGACTTAAAATAAGGTTATAAAGGGATAATAAGATATTATTAATATAAGGTTTAAATAATACCCTCTAAGAAAAAAATATTATCCTTAGAGATAATATTAATAAAAGCCTAAGAGCTAAGGCTATCTTTAATTTTATAGTAGGCTAGCTATAAACCTATAGCTTTCTCTAGACTCTCTATAAATATCTCTACTTAGAGTATATAGACCTAAAGAAAAGAATTATTAAAGTATAAGACTAAGTCCTAGAGATAATTAATAAGCCCCTTATTTATTATTATTA